GGTTTCTGACCTATTTTTTTTTTCCACAGGCTACTCCTTTCCTAAGACATTATATGGTCTTGAAAGAGTCAGCATTTGTGCCCACGTCACAGAAGTATTTACTTTGGCTTCTATTCCGGCAGCTATTAGACACCAAGCCCAGCCACTCTTGTGATTTTGCCACACTAGCTAACACTCTTAAGGTACTCAGTAAACACTGTAAGGCAACTTTCCCTTTTTTTTAAAATGTCCTCTTGGATTTTTTCTTGGCTTTATGGCACACATACAAACCTTGCCTGTTAGGCAGACAGGATCTGAAACTCTTGTTCCTTGTTTACCCTCTTTACAGTGCTGGTATCCACTGTCAAAATACCCAGCACAAAAGAATTTTAGTCCACATATAAAATACCAAAATAAATAGATTACAATTAAGGATAAGGTGTTCCCGGACACCCACAGGCAAGCTGGGAAAGCTGACACAAGTAGTATTAGGTGATGCAATAACATAAGTTTCATGGAGGAGATGAAGAAGAAAAGTAAAAAGTAATAGAGAGAGTAGGCTATTCACTATTCAAATGCAGGAATCCTTGTAAGAGCTTATGACTCTATAAGTGCCAAAGTGTGTGATGTTCACTCTCCGTGAGAAAGATGAGTAATTCAATTTGCACAGATCTCCTGACCTGATATGGCTTGTCACTAGAAGGCTGGTAATAGCTAATTAAAAATATTTCTACCGTGCTATCTTGCCTGTCTTACTGATTTTTTTCATATTATTTTTGGCTAGGATTCGAAGCGGGGGGGGGCTGTTTAAGCGTGAGTGGTTTGGATCTTTTTCATACTGCTTGTTTGACTTTCCACCCTTGTGTTTCAACTGAAATTAAACAGCATGAGTCTTTCAGAAACAAAAGACAACAGGATGACAGAGCCGGAGGACGACTATTAGAAAAGACATCCTCCCAACAAGCTTTGGAAAAGCACCATAACCGGGGAAGGGGCAGCGGCAGCGCCTACAACACCCAGGGCGAAGCCGCGGCCGGGCAGGGACGGGCGAGCTCGCCGGGCTGCGCTGTAATTAAAAGCTGCTGCCCTGATCACCTCCCACGCCTTCGCCAACTTGACAGCACGGGGGAACTGGAGACGTGCCTCACTTTAATATTCATCAGGCTCGTCTGTCAGCGGCATTGTCCGCCGGCGAGCAGGGACACCGGAGACACGCGTGCCCGCCGCGCTGGCTGTTAATTACAGCGCGCCGCATGGAAGGGCAGGCTGGCTGGCACAGACCGGCTCCCCGCCGCCGGGCCGCGGCACCCCCGCCACTGCGGGCAACCGGCGGCTCCCCCAGCCCCGCACAGCTCCGCACGCCCCGGGAGGTCAGGCCGCGGCCACCACCCCCGCCCCGGCCGGACCCGCCGCGGCCTCGCCCCGCTCCGGAAGCGGCAGCGCCCCGGCCCCGCCGCCCGCCCGCAGCGCCCGGGAGAGCCGGCCCCGCTCACCTGCTCGGGCTCCATGGCGCCGGCGGCGGGCGCGCAGTAGAGGGTGATGGCGGACAGCCCCTGTTCCATCCTCCCGCCCGCCGCGGCGCCGGGGGAGGGCGGCAGCGGGCCCGCCGCGGCCCGGGGAGCGCAGCGGCCGGGCGGCACCGCCCGTCACACCGCCCGTCACACCGCCCGTCACACCGCCCGCCGGGGCGGTGCTTGCGGCCCGCGGGGCTGGGCGCGCTCAGGAGCCGGGAGCCGCCCGGCACGGACTGGGACGCCGCTCACATCGGCTGCGGTGGTTTCGCTTCTCTCCGCAGCCCCGCGCTAGCCGGACAGAGGCAGCCGGGCTGCCCGGGACAGCCGTACCTCCACAGAGGTGGAGACATAGCCCCACTGCACCGGGGGAAAAGCACACGTTCTGGGGCTACACACACATCATTTCCCCAAATTAGTGTGAAGCCCTGCAAAATAATACAATAATATTTTAAGAAGCAGATGGAGTTCCTTGACAGCAAGTAGGGGGCTTACTAGCCCAGGAGCACCCTTCTCAGTCTTGCAGGATTGGGTGTTGGTTCAAGCAACTCAGCCCTTTGTAAAGAACCAAGTCTTGAAAAATAAATAGATGCACACCATGAGCTCCCAGGCCTCTGGGCTTCAGCCAGGTGAGAAAATAATGTGCTGCCCAGGAGGGTGGGAGAAATGTTCGCCAGGTAAGAGGTTTGCTTAGCTGCTCCTGGGGAGAGGTGAGAGCTCTTCTGCCTCCAGTTTGTGCTGGTCCTGGCAAAATCTACATTAGTAAATGTCAACTACAGTGAAAACAGCTGGAGGTAGAAGCATCTGAAACATTTTTAATGGGATTGAGAGGACAGTAGTTTTAATTTTTGGGGGGAGGGGATGGAACCAATGGCTGTAAAATGCACTTACATGACAGCAAGAGTTGTCTTACAATCCTGCACATTAAGAATAATTTCCAAAAAATTACACTCTATAGCACAATATGGGCTCCTAGAGGCTTTCTTAGTCATATTATCAAATCATAATCCAGAGCCCGTGACAAAAGCCCAGGTAAAGTACAGATGCAGAAAATGTTCCCTTGTGAAAAGGGCTGACATACAATGTACGATTACAGAAAGTTTACAGAATGAAAGGTTACAGTATTATTTTAGACAGTGGGGAGGGGCTGAATAGCTTCTTAAGGGATTACAACAAACATTCATCATTTAATGTTTTTTTTTTAAAAACCCTAATGTTAGGATACATTAGTATTTCTTACCCCCAACAGAGTACACATTCTGTGTAGTGACAGATTGGTTGGAATAGAGTAACAGCTCCTCAAGAGCAGCATTAAATCATCAACCAACCAACTTGCTTTCCTTCACCTCTGCTGTGGTTAGAGCAGCTGTACATTCATATTGAACTAAATCTGTTACCTCCCAGAAAAACTGGCCTTTGCAACTTGGACAAGTTTAATAACTTTAGCACATTTATGTTGAAAGTCCTATAGAAAGGTAAAAAGTTAACAAAGCCAGAGCTGTTTGTGTGCTAATAAATTGTCCAGCTTCCATCACACAGCTATCTATTGACCATCATTTCCTCTTAGTGTGCTGCTTAGCAGCAGCCTGAGCTCAAACAGCTCCAACAAAAGCTTGTCTGACAGCAGCAACAGCAAGATATGCACAGGAAGACAGACCTCAGTCTTCTAAGTCTTTCCAGCAAATTTTGCTTAACTCTAGCTCTTCAAGGTTCCTCTGTGCTAGAGAAACCTTTTGTGCAGACTTTTCTGAGATGCTGCAGAGGATAAGTACAAAAACCCAATGCAAGAAAATGGTGCTGGGACTGTTGTTACACATTTGCCAGGAGAGTGTTATTTGCGTCAAGCTATGAAAGGCCATGTAAGTCACCAATCCAGTTAGACGTGCTCCTATACAGTTGAACTCTTGCTCTTAGTGCCTCCATCATGGATTTTTTTTTTCCAGACTTGAGATGCTCAGGTAATTTTTCTAAGCAGGCCAAAAATACCAAAGTATTTCCTACCTGGCTTGCTAAGGTAAGAGCAATATATACTTTGTTCATTTCAGCATCTCTCTTAGCAATAATAATTGACACATTATATTTTAAAGGAAATTAATTCTCAACTTGCCCTTGTCTCTGCCAACACTCAGCTAGTGACAGCTCTCTTCCTATCTGGTTGCAATTTTAGTACTTTGGAAATGGTGAACTAAAAGTTAAAACTCAATGTAGGCCTCAAGCTGAAAATAGAGTTAATTGTTGGTAACTTGACACTCTGACTGAGCCTGTCCTGGAGCACAGTGCTTCACTGTTCATCCTCAATATCCCTATTCATGTTTGATTTCCATCAAAAGCGTTAACCATCCACTCTCCCCTATGTACTGCATTTCAAACCAAGATTTCATACTCTTTCCAGCATGGTTTTGCATATTGCATTGGGTTATAGTGCTCAAGAACTCAAAATGCTTTAAAAAAGAAAAATCAGGTTTTAGGTAAGCACATCGCTTCAGTAGCCGAGGACAGCTCCCAACAAGCTGGTGATATGCAAGAACTCATTCTTTTGTTATATTTAAAATACAGATTAAAAGTAACTGATCCTTTTACAGACTAATGCTATGCATAAAATGTAGTGTATTGAGGTAGATAGCATTCTTGAAGACTTTTCAGCATCCTCCATACACTGAACACGTATCATTAATGAAGCAGGAGATAGTCTTACTTTGTAAATACATTACAGTATAGCTTATATTTTATTAGTGCAAGAGTATAGTTTCATATATAAGACATTCCCTGTTAGCTGCCACTGTCTCACAGAGGGACCCACTTTTTTTAATTACTGCATTTAACTTTTATCTAGACAGCAGCAATAGGTGTCCGTTTACAAAACATACACTGCTGTATATTAGTATTTATAATACAACCTCTTACCATATTTGCCAAGATTGGTGTTGGATGTCAAGGTTCATCTTGGTCTACCAAGTTTCTGAAGCATGCTTGTGGATTCTACCCTTTTGAGACCAACACAGTAAACTAAAATGCTGAACTGCTATAGGAAATGAAGATCAGACTGCAGCTGAGTTGGGGCAGTATGCTCTGTTAGATACAGCTCTCTCTGTTTATAAAGTTCAGTACTAGGACAGAATTCTACCTAATGTGATTTAGAAATTATCTCCAGAACAAAAGAACTGCTTAACTGGTAGCCTGGTATGAAGATTATCTTGAGCATATGAGACATATGTATCTGCATATCTGTATTTTTTCAGTTGCTTGATTCTTTGTGTATAGGGGAAGAACAATGAAATTCTATACAACAAAGTCTTGTACAAACCTGAGCACAAAACATCCGCATTCTAAAAATGCTCCACAGATGAGCATCAACAGCACATTTTCAGGTACTGAACTATTCTTATAGTATCTATGCCAAACATGAGTTATAACAGTATTTAGGAAAAAAAAAAAAAAATCTCAAGTGAAGGAAATCTCATTACATACTGATAAAAGATACTCAAAAGGAACTGAAGAAACAGGCCATTCCCTTGTTTTTAACCACTTAGATTTTATTTTACAGTATATATGTGACATTTTATGTTACTATAACCAAAGATCAGGGTTGTTTACAAATATAATGGCTGCCATTTGATGTAAACAATTAAAAAGTGTCTCTAAATATTAAAATTTTACATCATGATTTTGTTTTATTAAATTGAATTACTCTTTGTGCCATCAGTTATTAGTGGAGAGGAACTAATTTAAGCAAAAATAGTTTTCAGAAATTAGATGTAGAAACTGAGAAGCCTGGGTAAGATTTCAAAAGACCACTCTCTCATCACTGTAAAAAGGAAGAAAGCAAATTCATTCACTGAAGTTGAAGAGTCAACCAAGTCCATTTGTATTAAGGCTCTTTACATATTATTGAATCCCATCATGCCTTTCATATTCCCAGCAGCACCTTGTTGAAATTGTCTCATCATTGACTGCAAACCAGCCATGCCACCTGCAAAAAATAAGTGAGAACATGAATGTGTTGATGAACTCTGAAGCACAGCTCTCTTGCTTGAGGCATCATTACTGTACACACACTATTCCACTAATATACAAAGGCAAAAGACTGTCAAACTAGGTTTAAACAGCTATTGAAAATAAAGAACTGAATGAGTAATTACAGAAAGGTCTGCAAAACCCCAGGCTTTAAGATGACTTTGATAATAGTAATTCCATCAAGTTTTCTTCTTTTGTCTAGTTCTTAACGCACAATTAGTAAGGTCCAGGTATGAGAGTCCTTACTTAAAGCTGCTCTTGTCAAATTTAATTAGTTGAGGCAAATCGTAGAAGGGAAGCCTATGAAGATTTGTTTTACCATAGACATCCTTCACCAGTCCAAATGCTCATTTTGAGAGCTGAATCCAAATGAAAGACTAGATTAAGCACTGCAAAGTGCAAAGTATTTGGACTAAACTTTCTGATTCCTGTTAGAAAACCCTAGAAATACTTAATACTGATATATAATGCAGATAGTCTCCCATCCCCTTCCTCACTTCTGTATCTCAAATGCTCCACTATAACTGGCAGTCCTCCTGTGAAGCTATAAAAAGTCAGTTCATACCCATATGATGAAGAACTCTTGGATCCATCATCTTTGCCATCTGCTGATTCAGTTTGGCCAGCTGAGATGGGTTTACGTTCTTGGACATATCACCACCTAAATAAAAAGAAAAGAGTAATCAAAGTCGATTAACATATGGTACTAAAATAAAATAAATCTAAATGTTGCCTCCTAATTCTAGATTCAAATCCATGAGTACATTTTTACAATTTACTACATCAGCCACTTAAAAGTCCATTTAGGATCAACAGTCCCTACACTCCACATAATAGACTGAAGTGTAAGTACTGTAGTAGTAATCAAGTCTGCATTGATAGAAATACAGTGTGTAACTTAGCAAGGAAAGCTACTGGTGTCATGAACAGTCCAGCTCACACCAATCATATAAAAACTTTCAAACATCATGAAAATGAGCGAGCTACAACTCACTTTCCTCTAACCAGTATTTTCTCATCTCCTCTGTGTTCACACAAGTGACCTCCCCCCTCAGTTAATACATTTTAGGGCAGGGATTTTGTTGTTAGTTTGGTTAGTGTTTTGTTTACCTTTGAAAAGCCCTTTGATGCCTCCCATCTTTTTCACCATCTGTGCAAACTTAGTGTATTGGGTCAAAAGCTCCTGGACATCTCTGGTAGAAACACCTGAGCCTCTTGCTACTCTTTGGATTCTTCCTGGCTGCTTACTGAAAACTTTGGCACCATCTGTACTATCAAGTTCTGAAATTAGTGTGGAAAAGAAAAAACCATTGACTCACTGACATTAAAAACAGTTACAATTGGTAGCAAACCTGTTGTCATTGTTGAGAATTTAATTTTGAGCCAGAGAATAAAACTTAGTTTCAGAAGTGACAATGCAAGATTTTACATAAATCATTGAGACATAATATTCTAGGGAGTAATACTAAAAAGCTCTTATCTTTATATGTTAATCAACATGATAGAAAAAAAACTGTGTGAATAAATTATGCTCTTAGGATACTTGGTCTTAAGCCCTATTAGTGGGTTTAGCACAAGGGTAAAAGCATACTACTAAAGCAATAATAGGCGAACTAGATACAACACTTTGAATTCTAGAGACCAGGCTATGTCACCAAGCAAATTTGAGGGTGGGTAGGAAAAAGACAGCAGATTAAAAATTAACATAGTTTATTAATTTGCAAGTATAGCATTAATAATTTAGGAACAATTACAATACAATATAAATACAATGAATAAAAATACACTGATTTCCAATAGAATGGAAATTATTCAAAATCCCATCTGCTCTACACAAGATAGAGCAGCAACAAAGTATCTCTAAATATATAGATTTATTAAGAAATTTGGAGACACCTGTACTCCTTGCTATTCCCAAGAAAGTTAAATGGTTTTTGTCATTTTCTGTCATTGTACATATTGCAATGTCTTTTTGTTTCCAGGAAGATCTCTCTAAATAAGTTTGTTCAACAATCAAGAAAAAAATAGCATGTGAAATTTGTTTTACCTTGATCGTTCATACTGTCCATTATAGTCATGAGTTTCTTTAGCCTTGCCATTGACTCCTGTTCATTACCTTTACTCATAAAGTCAGTTCCAAAACCAGGAATCATGCCCTTGTTTTAAAAATGGAAAACAAAAATTGTGTCAGAATGGGCAAAGCTAGCTTTAATTAAAGAAGAAAGAAGTATAAACAGCAACTATTAGTTCAGTAATTACATACTGCAGTAGAAAAATCATTTCACCTTTTTGAAAAACAGAGCACAGATTATAACAAAGTTCAATGAAGAGATTTAAGTTTACAGAAATTTGTAAAATATGAATGAAAATCTAATAAAATTATTTTGGGGATAACTAACCAAGATCTGACTGAATGGTCCCATTTTCATGATGTTTTGGAATTGTTCATACATATCTCTTAATGTAAATTGACCTGAAGCACAACAACAAAAAAAAAGTTAGCAGAAGTCACACTGGCATTTTGGTCTTACTCTCCTTTTTCAATTATTCTTCATATTCATAAGGTAAATTCTATACTACATAGGTAAGTAGATAAATAAACCTCTTCACTACTAATATGGCTAAACAGTTTCAGATGGCACATGCTGAACCATTAAGCTAGTTATTCTGCACTTGTAGCCTGACAGACTTATCATTTGAAAAGCACAACTCAATTTACATGGCTGCCACATTTACTAGAGAAAGAATAACCATTCTTCACTGTGCACATGAACAAGTTGTTTGTGTCTACACAGGTCACTGTAACACATCTGCTATTCAGGCCTTGGGAATAACTTACCATGTTTTAGCTTTTCTATCAGTGCTTCGTTATCATCCAACTTTAACTCATTTACTTTATCTATCAATCCTTCAATATCACCCATACCTGGATAAAGAAAACAGATCTGAAATTAGCATTAAAAATTAATTACATTTTGACTTTCCATTATCCAATTCTAAGTATCTTTTAAGTACAGTTGTACACAGGACATACCAAGCAGTTTGCTGATGAAAGGCTGTGTTTTAAAGGGTTCAAAGTCATCTATGTGCTCTCCAGTTCCAATAAAGATAATGGGACTCTTTGTGGCAGCAACTCTGCAATAAAATATATTTTATGAAATGACCTTTCAAACACTATCCATCTTTTGTACTATAATCAGCTAGGCATCACGCTATATCGACACTATGCATTCTGTCTGAAGCATCTCCCTTACTCCTCAAACTATTAATGAAAAAACACCCAACACTTGGATGCTTAGCTCAGAGTGCTTAAAAAGAATTTTCTCTAATTAGTACTTTATAAAATACAAACTCCGTTTCAAAAAAATCATTGACGGAAATAGAAGTTGCTAATTTTCATTGCTGAGTTTAAGAAACTTGAGAGGACAGAAAGAAAATTAAATCATCTTCATTTTATCCTAATACTGGGATATTACTGATATGTACATTGACACTAATGATAATATTGTCAGATGACAGGCATTGATGACAATTTCTTCAATGTTACCTCCTACAACAGACAATCTCATTTTCAACCCAGGAAAAAGCTCAGACATAAGAAAACTCAGAACCTTTCCACCACACTGACACTAGCTTTTAGATAAAACTCAGTTTCCAGTTCACAGACAATACAGAGGAAACACAGTACACTTAAGGCACACAAGCACATGACAACTCAAACAAGAGCAAAATGAAAATACCAGAAGCTTGAGTCTTCCAACATTATGCTATAAATAAAGCAAAATACATATGGCAGTTTAGGACTCTTAATACTTCAAATCAAAGACAGGCAGGGATTTAGCAAGTCAGGGCCAGTTATTTTGACTGTTTTGGCAGAACATCTCAGCTCCAAACAAGCTGTATCATTGAAAGGCAGCGGAACAATCATATAACGCTGAAGAGAAAATGTAACATTTTCTAGTCCATACTCTGCCAAGATATAGCACACGGGACATTGAACAAGAATGGAATTTGGGTAACTATGACAGCAGACAACCTTTCACCAGGTTTCTGGACACTGCCAATCCAGAATTTTGATTTGCATTATAGTTTTGAGGTCACTAGATATGATAACGTACAGCTTTTCCCCTTTTGGAAAAAAATTCTTGAGATGCAAAACTCTTCATCTAAGTCATATCTATTGAGTCCAAATTAATCTTTCTGGAAAAACGCCTAATACACAATATGCAATGAATGCTTGATGCTGATTTCAGAAGACAAAAGTCTGACCTGTGACAATACAAACTACTGTACTGAAAATAAATCATACCATTAGATTCTGATGTTAAATATCAACAGGTGATCCCACCCACCAGAAGAAGGAAAAAGAATCTAAGTGTGACTGTGACTGACTTAGATTCTGTGCAATGTGACAGTGACACTTCCACAGGACAGTTTTCTGAGAGACACTAATGCATTTCACGGCTGGCTGTGCATGGCCAAATGTCGGACACTGTTATACCACAGTACTTACGCACTAAGAGCTCCGCCTCCTTTGGCATGTCCATCAAGTTTAGTAACAATAACAGAAGCTACATCTACTTTGTCTTTGAAAGCTTTAGCTTGAGCTTCACAAGCTTGACCAATGGAAGCATCCATCACATAAACAATGTTATCTGGTTGCTAGGAGAAATGAGATACACAAAATAATGATTTCCTGCTTTACTAAACAATGTACATGCATTATTATTATTATGTAGGTTCAGTAGCAGAACTTACTGCAGTAACAGTATATAAGAGATGTAAGCTTTTATGAACAGTATTATCTAAGGACCATTTAAAAAATTCTGATGTTGTATGACTGTATGATTTAGCTATGACACAAAACATGACAATTTAATAGGTTTGTGCTTATTAGTTATAATTCAAGTGATTTTAGTCAGTATCTTGAGCCAATTAGCTAATTAGTATTTACAAGCAATTAATAGCTAACATCTTCCATTTGGTCTTACATTCAGATATTTAAGACATCCATTCTTCTAAAAGTAAGTTAGCCATTAGCAGGAATTGTGTGGGAAATGTCATATTGTCATGCAAGACCACAGTATCAAATAGGCGTATTTTTCAAACCCATAGAAACAACAGCTTCATTTACATATCAAAACTGTTGAACGTTATCCAATCATCTTCTCTGTTTCAGTGCAACTATTTGTAACAATCACAGAAAGTTTAGTATTCAAAAGTTAAAGGAAACCAGACCAGACTGGTTCTTTTATCTAGTTTTTCAATGCAAAGATCCTGAAAAAGAAAAGTTAAAGCAAGAATGGCAGTCTCCTTACATGCAAGTATCTTTGAACAGAACAGAAAAATTAAAACTGTCACAAAGCTAACAAGCTCTGGTCATTCAACCCTTGCTTATTCATGTCTGTTTACAATTTCTAATATAAGCTAGGAGTTAAAGCAAAATGCACATAGAACATCAGGATAAACATGAAGCAACTGTCATCAAATGACTATACCAAGTTACTGCACCTCTCAAAACTACTTACTATGGCATTAGCAACTTGTAACATCTCTTCAAACAAAGAGTCTTCTTGTTTGTGACGTCCACTTGTATCAACAATGATTATTTCAAAGTTTTCGTTCTTAAATTTCTCAACACCTTCTGAGGCAATTATTACAGGATCCATTTCTGTATAACTGATCAAGAAGAGAAACAAAGACTCAAAATTTCATCACTTGACTATAAACTTGTTAACTATAAATCTGTCTGGATTTCAAGAGGGAATTCCTCCTACATAAAGCAAAAACTGGTGTTAAAAATATGTCTTCCTAAGCCATTTACCCTTACTGCTCAGTGAACTGAAGCACAAAGACTGAAGTCTATCTCACCTGCTGGAAGCTGCAGTAAGTTCTACAACACTGTCCCTCAAATAAGATTTAGCTGAGCATCTAGACAGTTCACCTCCAGTGAAGCTTAGGGGAAAGTTATTTACTGCTTTATAAAAGACATTTCAGGTCCACCTCTGTTTTTATTTGGTAATAAAAATTAAGCATCCAAAAATAATATCCTTTGATCTGTGAGATACTTCCCAAAAATCTGGCCACATCTGCTAAGTCTGTGAACTGCTATACATTGAGTATGCACTACAGGGAATTACTCCTGGACACCTGATCTCTTTGTACACTATCTTACCTGCTACTCCTGGCAGTATATTGAACTGGGCAGCATTTTCATCTGATTGGAGCAAGTATTAGTCAGAATATATTACTAAAAGGAAAGCAATTAGGCAATGCTAGACTGGGTTTAGTGCAAAATATTCAATACAGAACAATACATAATTGGGAGTTGAATTGTTCTCCAAAGTAATTCTGAAAGATGCTTACCTCCCATAAAAGGGAATTCTTGCTTTTGTGGCATTCTGCTTTAACTGGTCAAAAGCACCTGTAAGACAGGTATAGTCAAGGGATTACTTCAGAAAATCTTCCAATATTAGAGAGAACTACATCATTAAAGTCTGTGTTACCTGCTCTGTATGTATCTGCACATATTAAACAAGTCTTCCAGCCTTTCCTCTGATAGAAGTATGCTAACTGTGAAATGAAACCCAAAACAAGTAGTTACACCAAAGTCCCATTGACGTGACACATCTAACATCTTGAAGTCACACACACAGAGGATATAAACTCAAGCCAGTCTTTCTATAACTGAGGCCACAGAGTAAGATTGTTCACTGTTGGCATGGTCATTATTTAGAAAAGCATGTTATAAATAATTCTTAAGGGCAAGATGAAAACACCTGCTTGACTCTGCTTCTGATTCCAATTTCCTGAAATGACAATTTCTAGGAATGACTACAAATAACTTAAGTTCCCATTTTACTAACTCCCGAATTCTTCTTAGTGTTAGTACTGCAGATTGGACAAGCATGTAGAAACTACCCAAAGTAATACTTCAATATCAAGTACCATAATGGCTACAACCTGTACAGCTCTATGTTTCTGTACTTCCAGAGGAATGAAGATATTTCCATTGAAAGACATGTTTTAAAGCAGTGGATGGAATCCTAAACCTTTCTACAACACTCAGCTTCACAGGTGCTGTGTATATTCACAAAACACTGACCAAAGACAAATTTTCAAAATAAAGTTCACCTACGTAAGCACTAACAAAATCTTCAGAAATCAGAGCAGGCTATACTGAATATTTCTCTATGTATGAATCTCAAAAGGAGATGACAAAAAACATTAAAGATCCGTCTTTTTTCCACAGGATAATTTCTCCTCACAACTTGGAATGTATCAAGCTCTGTCTTGGGGTGAATGATGAGTGAGTCAAGAGGTTAGTGAGGCTGATGCTGTTGTGGGTGTTTATTACAGGCCACCTAATCAGAAGGAGCAAGTGGATGAGGCCTTCTACTGGCAGCTTGAAGCAGCCTCCAAGTCACAGGCCCTGGTTCTTGTGGGGGACTTTAACTACCCTGACATCTGCTGGAGAAGCAACATAGCATAAAGCACAAACAGGCCAGGAGGTTCCTGGAAAATGGAACGCAGAGATTACAACTTCCTGTCACAGGTAGTGGATGATCCCACAAGGAATGGTATGTTGTTTGACCTTGCACTAACAAACAGGGAAGGCCTGGTTGCTGATGTGAAGATAGCTTGATTCAGAGCATTCTTTTTTTAGCCTTAAAATAATACAAATGCAAAGCTCCTCAATGAATCTGGGGCTGGAAGAGGTTTCACATCACCAACCTACACTTAACTGAGGTATCTAATAAAAAGGCCAAATTCCACTGGATTTTCTAAATAAGTAATGGAATGAGCATCCATTCTTAATATTAGTCTTAAACCTAGAAAGTGAACTACAATGTTGTGGTTTAACTTCACTAAGCAGAAGGACAAATGGAAAGACTCTCTTATAGGGTATTGTTTCATCAAGAGTTCAGTTTAAAAAAATTTTAAGTCCTACAAGCCATAAATTGCCCCAAAAGAATATTATTTTCAACATTCATTTCATCACAGAAACCCCTCTGCAAACTAGCTCTACATGGTAGTGAGTTAGAACTTTCCAACTTACAAAACCAGCACATATCAACAAGCCAAACCTACCTAAGGAGCCCAATGACCACCAGCTTCCCCAAGAAAAAAAACCCAAATTCCACAAACAAATCAAAAACTATGCAAAGAGATCCACTGCATGTTACCTTTGAACAAGTTGTTGTTTTACCACTTCCTTGCAAACCAACAAACATTATAATATTCTGTTTTCCTTTGGTAGGTGTCCATGCCTTGACTCCAGGATCTACAAGCTAAAGAACAAAGAGTAACATAGGTAACAGAATCAAATTTCAAAAGCACATAACAGTTGGTGTCACAGTCATGCTAGGTGCCTGGTTTCATATTCAAAGGAGAAAAAACAGTTTTTGCACATTCTCATCTTAATCCGGCTTAGATTTTTGCTGATTTACAGTGAACAACAATAGCCCTTACAAGATATCTATAGTATATAATGTTCTGTGTAATAATTCTGCAACAGTAAGAGTGTTAATTTCTTTCTAACACTAAGCACAGTCAGGGTGGCCTGTATATATGGCACAAGGATAACAACCAACACAGAAAGGGGACCTCCATCCCTCTTGTCACTGCTCTGGATGAGCTTCTTCCAGTGAGAATCCTTTTAGGATTTTTAGGGCTGTTGCTTCACTTGTGAAATGAGTACATACATTCCTGAGAGCCACCATATGTCTGGGCACAGACTACAGTTAGTTTGAGACATGCCCAAGATGTAGTTTCAATGAGAATACTACTGTTTGCAATAGTAAGAAGCCTCACATCAGAAAGCATAACTGCAGGTATCACATAACCACCTAAAAGCTTGGCTTGCTACTGCACTACTTTCAAGCCCGGACTGTACAAGGAAAGTGATGCAATGCAGAGTTTTGAAGTCCTACCTTAACAAGTTCTTTAAAGACTGCATGCTGGATCATTTTTCTTTTGTTAAGGCCAGATGCCATTTCTTCAAGATCAATTGCAGACCTGAGTTTAAGAAAAGCATGAAACACTAGCATAACTTAAAGCATCACTTGAACCTAGTAATAAAGTTTTTGCAACTGCAACAGCACTCTGATTTGTTCTGAGTTTTCAGATAGGATGTACTTAAGAAGTGATGTGCACTGGAGATATGCTTAGGCAGAGGACAAAAAACAGGTTTCTAATATGCATCTTTATGCATCTTTAAGACTTGCATTTACTTAAATTACATCTGAAAATAGGCAAGGTAACAGTGCAAGTCACATACACGGATCTATTTATAGCCAGCACAGAACATGTGAAGATGATGTGTCTAGGAAGTAATGAAGAACTTGTTTATCAGACTACTCAACCAGTGACAGCAACAGATTTTTTAAAGCCTGTAAGCGGCTAAATAATAATAAATAATAAGTGGCTAAATTTGACCAAAGACTCTTTTGATGGAACTGGCTAAACATTTAGTTCAAACAGCTGTTTTTCTGTTAAAAGTAAACTGGGTGTGTCTAAAAATACCCCAGCATATTAAGTTATAAATCAGTTGTTCTTTTGTAACCTCAAATTACAACTTTTACAAATATCAAAAGTTAAATGCATTTTAATTATTTCACTTACTTGACATTTTCTCTAAGTTGCTTCACAAGTTTGATATTAACATCAGCTTCCAGTAATGCTGTACATACTTCTTTTAACATAGCATTTAAAACCTTTGGAGTATAAAAGAAAAATCAGAAAAATTGTTTTATAATACACAGATTAACTAGGCCAGTATAAGGTCAAAATAAGAATGTGAAAATCTACTTATGATATAACCATGACTTTCACAAATTAAATTAATGTAGTCTGACCATTAAATCGACTGTCACAAAAAAGTCTGTGCATTTGTTCCCGTGTAAATACAATTTAAATCTGCAAGAGAAGGGTTCTCAATTGTAACAACTGCACACTACATAACACTAACACAAAACACTTCCTACTACATTATGGCCAACAGCTCATACGGCAGCAAGACTTCCGGAACTCCACTCTGAATATTCCTTAGAGAGTACACCAAAAAAAAAAAAAAATCTCAGATCAAAACACTATTTCTGTAAGTAACAGTATTCCTTACCTAAAGATGGACACCCTGCTACCTGCATTTTCAGAAACTGGATTACTGCTCTGATTGTATGCCTTTTAGGCAAGCAGGTACCTCAGCTGGAAACCCTGTTTATTCTGAGTTTTCAAAGTCTTGAACAGAAAGATTTTTCTCAAAGTAACACCTGCATAAATGGCCTCATTTTCACATCTTGAAATCAGGATATAAGTTTCCATTGCTTAAAAAATTTAATTGAGTTGTAGTTGATTCAATTAAGGATTTTGACTCCCAGCAGAAGATACATTAAAACATTTTCTCTATGGTAAGTTCTAAACCTACAGCTCTCAACGATCCTAGTTTTAGTTAATTAAGCCACCTGTCTTTCCACCTGAAAAGAGTTTCTAGCAATCAGTGTACTCAGAAACACTCTGAAACCATCACATTAGCTAGTCTTCCATTTTGCATTGAACTCCTATAACAGAACACACCAAGTTCCAATTTCAAACTCTTAATTAGAGAAAAGACAGACTGTACTAAGCCAAACAAACTTCCAGAACCTCACACCGACTTGAATATAAAGGCACAAAATGCAACACATTCCACACATTTCAGAAAGCAAAGCTTACTTCTGTTCTTCCACATTTCAGCTTCTAGCAGCCTAGTGCACATCCCCATAGTCTCCCTGTGCACACACATAAATCAGAGCAGGCACCTACCTTCCCATCCAATTTACACACATCTCCCTAAGCACAGCCACCAGGCTAAAGGACCTTTTCACCACGGGACCCAGACTATGTCTGAGGTGATGACCCATGCATAAATCTAGTTTTAAGTTTGAGCAGTACTGTTAGCGGGTTAAAACCTCTATTACAAATTTTACCTGAAGGAAAAAAAAAGGTCCTGGGAACCCACTTAAAGCTTCTCATCAGCCTTTGATAACTTTTTGTCAGAACTCTTCCAGTGTTAATGCCATCACATTTGTACACTACATACCTCTTCATTGATAATCGTGGCATTGCTCAGTGAGCGCAATGCTGAAGTTATTTTTCTTCCAAGATCTGCCAGAACCATTTTGGCGGCTTCAAGTACAACTCAGAAGGATCTGGAAATAAAACTTAAAAAATAAAATTTTAAACTAGTTAAAGCTATGCCTTCACAAATTAATTATTCAAGGAACTTTTGGGTAAGAATCCTGCTTTGCATTCCAGAAAGTACACAGGTTTTACTTTTTAAAGTTATTTTTAGGAAATACTGGCCTGAAGTTAATTTTAGGCAATCCTGATGGCCTACTTAAAGGTATACCATATTTCAATTAGGAAGGATTTCACTGTGTAGAATAAATGTGCATTGAATTCACCATGAAAAACAACCCAAAACAGTCCAGATAGACTTCCAGAAAGAATCCCAACTTCTATTTATCTTCTTATCAGCAATATGCTACATGATGGAATAAAATCAAGCAGAATAGCCTAAAAACTCTGCATACTGCAAGGACAGTATGACAAGAAGCAAAATATTTTGCTAGCAAAATTCAACATTATTAATCAGTTGTATTTTATCCAGCTTTCACTAAATCAAACTGAGCTTCCCATTTCAGTAACCCTACAAACATACTTGCACTTTAATAAGCAAAATTCATATTGTAGTTTGGAAAGCTGTATTGGAAAAACAGACTTTTTTGTTCACTAGAAATAAAAATCTCATATATAAGCCTAAAGCATACCATAACTTACACTTAGGAAACTATAAAATGTTAATTTCTGAAGGGTACACATTCTAGTCAACATGCTAAACCACTCCATCCCCTCTATTAGGTGGCAAGCCATTCAGAAGAATACATGATAAAATCAGCAATCTAAAATTCTGATTAAGAAGAAATCAAAACTTGTCTGAAGAGCAAAAATTTGTAACACCACAGCTACTGCTGAAATGGAGCACTTCAAATACTTCTTGTTTATCTTCCACTTTCAGTGTTGCTTTCTTGTACTCAGCTAAAACTACTTCCTCGCTGATAGCCCAAGTCAGAATCTCACATTTGAGCTCCTCCTTTCAGAACTGAAAGCCAAATTCTCAATAATGGGAGCCTCTGTAATCAAAACAGATGAGAGTTTAAAAGATTTTTGGGACTTCCTCCTGCCTCAAATGAGAAAAAACCAGAAGATAGGTTGGTCCATTTATTGAAATGAAGAATGCACACTAGCTACATTCTGATTTTATACAGCTCACTGTATACAAACATTGAGATTTATCAGCTGCACAAATCCCAAAAAGCATGGTTTAAAATATCTTTATAAACAATAAAAGATACATTCCAAAAGAGCTAAAACAAGGCACCACGTAGCCAATCTCCAGATTGCTTTGTCTAATTTAGAGTTACTATTGTTACCAGCTTGGTAGGTTAAACCAGCAACAAAACCCCAAAAACAACTGCCAGTGTAACCCACCCTCCCCTGATACTGAAGTCACAACGCAGAGCAAAGTTTTCAGGAGCTTCAGAAGGTAGAATAAATAAATCCCATGTAAGTACAGAAGTTGAGTATGGCAAATGACACAAATAAATACATTTAAACATTTTAGATTTAATGTACATTGAATGTACAAGCAACGATATCCATTACAATGCCATCTCAATATTAATTTAAAAAATAGTTTATGTTTCCTAAGGAATTCAGCCAGTAGAGTATTTGCAAACCAGTACACTAATAGAAATTGATGTCCATCTTCTTAAATTGCTGGGACTTCTACATGTTATCTGAAGTGGTAAAACTCTAACGTTTCCTTACATGGCAAATATTATTGCAGAGTAATTCTAAAAAAAGCATTACCATCAATAGGCTCTACCAAACAGACGTTCAAAACGTTTTCCAGGTCATTTTCTGTGATAATCACAATATGCAAGAAAAAACAAAACCCCAAACCTTTAAAAATGGCACTGCAACTCAGTACGCTTTGAGCTGCTAAAATGGCAACCAATGACAAAACTTAACTATAATACTTGGATATATCAGCTAAGAAATTTGATAGGATAACAAAACACAGCATACTCAATATTTAAAATTAGTTTCAAGAGTTCTATAGATCTCCAAACACAGAATTATGTCCTAATAAGCGAATGTTTCCTCTGCAGAATTCCAAAAGCTTTTTCAATAGCCTTACAATAGGAATAATTCAAATCCTTTGCTAAGGAGACGAGTTTAAGTATTTTCATGTAAACTGCTCTCACTAGCACATTAAGAAACCATAAGCCATCAGAATTTCTAAGGGCTGTCAAGTACAGAAATTATCAGAACTTGTGACACAGTCTATCTAAGGCGAGAGCCACACTCCAGACAAAAAGACATGCAAGACGTTTTAGCAGGTAGCCAGCTGGAGCTGGCAGATAGCCAGAAGGGCATTAGCAGTAACTGCACTGCAGATTTTGTATGTGCTGAGCAGCCATAGTTCTGAGGAGTTTAGCTTGCATGCAGCACCCCACAAACACACTGAGCGGGGCTAAACCCAGCTGGGCCCGCAGGACACAGCCAGGCTGCCTCGAGCAGGCTTCGGGCTGAGCAAGGCCACGAGCTCTGCACAGTCCGAGCCCCTCCACGCTGAGCTCCCGCCCCCCCAAGAGCTCCGTGCTTCAGGCATAAACGGGAATTCCAGGGATAAAGGGGCAGCACAAATAGTGCATCTCTCACTGTGGCATGGCAAACCAGCAGTGAAGCAGCTCTGAAGAGACAGACTGCCCAGCCATCCAGCATAAACCTCCAACCAAATTCGCCTAGTTATACTCGCAATACTCTAATGTACAGGATTTTGAAAAAAATATAGGCTTAATGAGTAACAGCAGTTTGAACAGCTGCTTTAAAAGATAACAGCAGTTTAAAAAGATAACAAGCAAAAACAACACTTAAAAACTGTACAGTGAACTTGTGCTACAGGTACACATACATGGATTAAGACCAACTGCAAGTTTAACTCTGTAACAGAGAAGCGGCTGTTTCACAGGTGGGAATGCCTTGAGCTACTGCAGCTACGCTCAACCTCAAGAGTTTCCACCTTCTAAAATTACCCGGCTGAGGACGGGAAGGCGCCCCCAAAGCAGCGGCAGGGAACGGCCGTCTCGTTTATGGCCCAATGCCCTCGTTTTCACGGGAAAAATGATGAAGGCAGAGCCTGATATATGTGCTGCCATTCCCCCGGACACTCAGGGCTGGCCACGGACAGCGGGCGGACACCGGCTGGGCGAGTCCCGTCCCGGTACTGTGGACAGCGGCGGCTGGGTCCGGGGGACCCAGAACTGCTCCCTCGGAGCCCTGGCGGACTGAGGGCCCTGCCCAGCCCGCTGCAGGACAGACCGCCGCCTATCCCCAGGCAGGCACCGGTGCCTCCTCCCTCACCGCCGGGACTGGGCCGGGGGCTCCTCCGCGTCACGAGAAACCGCCGCGGGTGGCGGTCACAGAGCAGCTGCGGCGGCAGCACAAGCACTCACCGAGAGCGCGGTGCCGGGCCCGCGGGCGCAGCCGTGCCCAGCCCGGCCCGCCGGAGCGAGGCCGCCCAGCGAGACGCCGCTGAAAGCGCGAGGAGTTACGGCCGCCGCCGACCAGGGAAACGTCAGCACTGGCCGTAGCCCCACAGGCCCCCGTTGGCTTCCGTTTCCGGGCCGCTCGCGGGCCCGCTGCGTCCTTAAGGTGGCGTCGTATAAACGTCCCGCTCACACCCGGCGCGGCATAGGCAAAAATCGCCCCACACCGCCTTAAGGTGGGGCGGAAGGCGGGGCAGTGGGCGGTGCCGTGGGGGCGGAGCACCACCTCCGAGTCCGCCCCGTCAGCGGAGGGCGGGGCCGGGCGCGGCGCCAAGCGGCAGCGCGAGCATGCGCCGGGAGAGGGCGTCGAAGGGCGGGACCGAGCATGCGTGAAGGGCCCCTTCCGCCCGGTGTCGCGCTCCCGCATGCGCACGTGCGGGCAGCGGGTGGGGGGGCACGCGGAGGGCGGGGCTTCCCCCGCGGCGCGCACGTGCGTGAGGCGGCGAGCGTGGCGCCCCCCCGCGGCGGCGGCGCGATGGAGCTGGAGGCGGCGCGGCGCGCGGTGCTGGCGACCGTGCGGGGCACGCGCGCCGCCGACCTGCCGCGCCTGCTGCACTGGATGCGCAACTCCCGTAAGCGCCGCGCGGGGCCGCGCCCGCACCGCGCCCCGGGCTCGGCCCACACCCCCTCGGCCCCGCCGGTGGGTCGGGCCCAGGGGCGCGGTGCGACAGCTAGCGTCGGGGGGGCGGGGAGCGGACCCTGGGCAAGGGGCAGCGTGCCCGGGCCGGGGCGCCGCCCCTTCCGGGGACACGCAGCTCGCAGGTTACCGGCGGTACCGGCCGGGCGGCTCAGCCAGGCTACGGCGGTCGGGGCGGCTGGAGCAGAGCGCGCCCGGTGCCGCCCGCCCTGCCCGGCTCCGGCCGGGAGTGGCCCTGCTGCAGCTGCCCCGGGCCCGCCCGCGCTGGCCCGTCCGGGGGCAGGCGTGCCGGCACACGGGTGCCGTGTGAGGGCCCGGCGCTGGTGCGGAGCAGGACGGGCTGCGGGGTGACCCTCAGACCCCGAGGCGGAACGTGCGGAGCCGCCCTGCTCCGGCCGCACCGAGACGGCTTTGGGTATTCGGCTTGCCTTGTTCAGCTTCACACGTGCTCACAGCAGCCTTTCCGAAGTTTGGAAATAGCGGTTTGTGCTAATTTGCAAACGCTGCTTTCCGCACTTGATGTCACCCTAAGTTATCATAGCTTTCTGTTTACTCCCTTGTTTATGCCTGGATGTAATTCCATCTACGTACTGCAGTCTGCATTTTGTGGCAGATGAAGAAAGGAAATATGGGTCAGTGCACGAGGTGTAAATTTGCAGCTGAACCTAAAGGATGACATGGAAAACCTCAACATAGGCAGTGCATTAAAGCTGTAGTCACATAGTGCCATGCTGAATAAAGTCTAAATGCTGCTTAGTTTCAGGGTATATGTGCATTTCTCCATTGCAGATAGGAATCTGGAAGACTCCTCCAATTTTGTGATCCAGTATCAAGCATCCAATAAATGTGTGTCCTGTTTATTAAAGATTATCTCCTGGGATGGTAAACCTACCCTGATGATCATGTGTCAGGAGAAATTCG